TCGTGTACTTTGTAGAAGCCTTCTTGGACAGAAGCAGCTCCATCATGGTTAAGACCTGGAAGCGTCTTAGATAACCCATTCGCCATGTGGGAGAGCACGTCATTCTCCTTGTTTGGGAGATGCAGGGCATGAAGAGAGCTGTTGAACATGCTCGGAGCTGCACTGTAGTTATGGATTAAATGAGAAGATGGGTGATGCTCACCATTTTTATAGTCTGTGTTTGGATTGCTCAGATTGGGTGGTAATCGAGAGGCAGCCCCCATGAAGTGGCCATCCATCTCATGAGCGGAATAAGGAGGAAATGTACCTACATGGTGTACATTTGGTCTAAGAGTACAACTGCTGAAGGCATCTCCTTGCATATTTTGGTTTCCGTAACCTAAGTACTTAGAAGTAAAACTCTGGCTATTTCTGAACCTCGGCTGGTAAAGCGTATGGATGGGTGGTAGATTTAGCTTAGACAGAGGATCTTGGTTTGGATACCTGTATAGATCCATGGACTGAGACTGGGGAGAATAGGAACCCAGATATTGGGAGCACTTGTCCATTGATATGTTTCCATTGCATTGATATGATGATGGATATTGGTTATTCTGATTCAAAAGCCCAGGGTAGGGGCTCATGGGATTAGAAGAATTCAAATATGAACCTGCAGCTTGGGATGAAGTGGAATAGAGGTTCATCGGGTTGGCGCCTCCATAAATATCTGAAGTGTGTGAAGAGCTTGGATAAGGACTAACTGGATTGGGCCTTCTCGTGTATAGACTGGTGGATCCAGAAGAAGTGTAAGAGCTGACAGACTCTGACTGAGGGTTATCAGTGAAGGGGTGATGTGGCTGCTGCAGCTGTGGTGGCTGCTTCTGTGGCTGTGGAAGCTGCTTCTGCAGTTGGGGCTGGGGCTGCTGCATGACTGGTCCTGAAAGTCGCAGAAGTTCTGTGGACAGGATAAGAGAGAGCGAGGACAAACATGCTTGATCAGCACTTTATGAGAACTAGGGAGGATGCCTACATGTATGTGAGCACCATCACGGGAATTATGCAACACCCATCACACAAGGACAAGAGCAATGTCAGAGCTCTCTAATCACCGTCTGGCATAATTTTTTGTGCCAGAAATAAAGCATTAGAAATAAAATGGCAGAGCACACAGCAGTACATTTTGGTAAATGGTGAAAAATGTAATAAAACATCCAAAAGCCATTCCATCGAGAGCATCGTGTTCTCTGGAGCTTCTGCGCGTTTGATCAAGCCACACTCTCTACTTGAAGCGCCCTGCCATCTCCCTGCCCTTCCTTGACACAGTTATGCCTTCCTCAAGGACGCTGTCTATAAACCCAACTTCTAGTGCTTTTGTAATACTTCGTCATAGCCACTGCAAACATCAGTCAGATAAAGCAACAGTCATAATGTACTGGAATTATCCAATTTTAGTCCTCTCCTTTCCTCACTGCAAAGTAGTCCCTTGAGGGAAAGGACCATGTCTTATTTTACTTTATTTCTCCATTGCCTGGCATGCAATCAAATATGTTAAATAGGTAATGTAGCAAAAAATTTGTTATGGAAGATTCAGCAATGCTATGAGAAAAAGAATGACATTCATTTAAATACCCAAAGCACCTTATACAATTGGCAAACCCTATTTCATCAGCGTGCTTTCCAGGAAGGAAATGAACACAGTTGTAGATACAAACTTTAAAGGAACTTCCAGCTTTGTAAATGAAACTTTTAAAAGTCATACTTCTGTTTCATGACCACACTTAAAGAGTAATATGAGATGAGAACAGATAAATGGAGCTGCTATGGCAGTCCTGAGAACTGAAACAATCACTGCAGAGGCCAGTTAGAAGGAACTAGACACAAAGTTCTAACTGATTGTACTTTATAGCTAACTTAAAAGAGATATCAGGGAGTGGATAGAATTTACTTCTCTTAGTGTAAGTCAACCAATCCACAAATGTTTATTAAACATCTTTGACATATTATTCTAAATTACTTTTATCCCTGAGCTTCAAAATCAATCACTAGGGAGATTTGACTTTGTGAAGAAAAGACGGTTGGTTCTAAGCAGAGCATTATACTAATGCAAAAGATATGCATTTTTCTTTTGTTAATAGCTAGGCCAATACCATCTCTGAAATTTGGATATGGACATCACATTGTATGATTTCTCTTTTTAGAGCATTAACTATAGACAAAGCAAGAAACAGAATATCTACTAGCATTGATAAATAATGCTCTATTGCTACTACTACAGATGTGATCTATTTTGATGGGTAAAAGCTTTTTAAGAGCTATATGTGGATTCCCCTCGTAAACCTCAGCCCCAACATGGCTAAAGAAAGGTATCTTATTCTCCTGCCCTTCCCTCATAAATCTTATTTTCAAACTTACCTCAATAAATAGTACTGTTTTAATTATCTAGGCTTATAACTTTGGAGTCATCCTTAAATATTTTTTCTCCTTCATTCTAATGGTTTGTCACCATCGTATTGATAATCATTTTGGAAGAATTCGCTTCTGTCATCTTTTGCTATATCTTCATTGCTACCACCAAAATTCAAGCTCTTATTACCTCACTCTTGGTTTACTGCATCCATCTCCAAACTATTAGTTCCTCTACCTCTAATTTGGCTTGTCTGTCCTTGATGGATTAACACTAATTTCACCATATCACTTACCATAAAACTTTGCCATTTATTATAGAATAAAATCCAAACTTCTCCCTCACACTGGGGCTGATGCAACACCTCACTACCATCTCCAAGAACAAAGCCTGGGCCTTGCTATTTTAGAGAAAATTCTAGTATAGAACTAAGACCATGATTGAACATAACCTTCCAAAGTTAACAATGTTCATTTTCAAAATAAGTCACGTAACACATGTATCTACAGTGCTTCCTTCACATTAAATTTACCTGCCAACTGTTTCACCTGGCTTCCATTTTCAATCTGTTTGGTACGAGAGGAGGCTGACTTTTCCTTTTCATTCTTATTTGTGCTGTTCTCCAAAGAGGAAAGCTTTTCAGCTGCAGCTTTCTTGGCTTCTAGTTTCCTTTGCCGGCATGTCTTGACTGGCTCTGCTAACATCCTGACTTTCCGTCGAAAAGAACTCAGTACCTGAATGGCACCATTTCGCTTTTTCTCCTCCTGAGCTTCTACGCTCCCAAACTCATCCACATCAGAGACTTTGTAGAGAGGCAGAACGTGGAGCTGCTCATCCTCAGGTTTTCCTCCAATTTCTCGATTGTCTTCTCTAGTGAGGGTGCATACCTGGCAGGGAAATAAGACAGCACAGACTCAGTTTCAGTCCAGATGACAGCTGGTGTGTGTGTGTGTGTGTGTGTGTGTGTGTGTGTGTGTGTGTGTGTGTGTGTG